GGGAAGGCGGGGCGTGCGGCGGGGCGGGGACTAGGGGCGGGACCATGGGAGGGCGGGGGAGGATCGGCCGCACAGCGGGAAGGGGCTGCGGCGGCCCTAGGTGGGTGCTGGGCGCAAGGGTGCCTTAAGGGACGCCCGCAGGAAGACAGGAGGGGTGAGCGTGGGGGCCAGGCCAGAAGAAGGGGACATGGAAAGCGGAGAAAGGAAACTCCCAACAACGAGATGGAAGAGAACCTGAGCGGGCGCCGGACAGGGGAGGAGCCACTGCGCGGGGACGCCGGGTGGAGGACGGAGAAGCGGGTACTGGTGGGGTGGGAGAAGCCGGGGGGTGGTCCCTGCGGAGTCGGGAGGACGGAGGGGCGGCTGATGGGGTGCGTGCAAGGAGAGAGATGAGCAGCCCGGCCTGAGGCGCCGCCGCAGCTGGGCCCTCAGTTAGGCATCAGAGGCCTAGTGTGCGGCGACCAGGTGCCCGAACACTCCCCCAGAAGAGGATCCGCTGGCTGCTTCCCCCTTGGCCTTTGTTTAAACTCTACAATTCAGTGGTTTCACGACAGTTTTCATCCGGAGATTAAGTCTCAAGATACTCTGAGGGGAGGGAGAAGCCTAAATGGCTACTCGGTGGCCTTGGAGGGTTTGTCAGCCTGTCAGTGCCGTGGCCATGAAGGAGCCTCTGCTGTGGGGGCAGCACAGCCCCAGGGGAAAGGCACAGCAGGTGGCCCCCAGCCTGCCCATCAGGGGAGTCCCTCGGGACAGGAATGGACACCCCTCTCCAGGGCAGAGGCTGGGTCCTTCTGAGCTGGTAAGAGCCTTTTCGCGTGGATGGGCAAGGCAGGGTCCACTGCTTAGGAGGCCACCCCAAACACCTTCTTGGGGGCAGGCTTCCCCTGCCCCCCTGTCCTGGGTGGGGGATGGGACCCACAGGCCTTTTGCTGGCAGTACCTGTGCCCCACTGCCACCCAGTGCACAGGTTGAGAACTGAAGGCTTGGGGGTGGGAAGGGACTGCAGCCAAGGTCACCCAGTGGTCAGTCATGAGAAAGGTCCCACCTTGAAACTGGTTTCCCTCCAGACACACCCTTGGGCGGGGACTGGACCCCGAAGGCATGTGCACGGGACCCAGGAGCTGCAGCTTCTCCCCGCTCTTCAGATGTGTGCTGATCTGAGGCCAGCAGAGCTGGGGTGCCAGCAGTGGAGGACAAGCAAGCGGGCCTGCACCCCTGTCCATCCAGGGCGTGCTAGCTGCAAGCTCGCAAGCTGGAGGGTCTCACAACGTGGAGCAGGAGAAGGAGACAGTCTCAGGAAAGAGAAGATGAAAGACAAACCCTTCTCCACGGAACAAGAGATGGGAGAATCGCTTCTCAAAGGAGGACTTGGTGCCCAGAAGGTAAGAAGAAAGCCCCATAGGCGTGTCAGCGGCTCCAAACGGCAGCCTTTCCCTTTGCCCAGGGGCCTGCGATGCGGGATTCCAAGGATAAAATGGTGGAGCTCGGACACCTTCAGAGAAGGGGCCTTCTGGTCAGACTGCACCCCACTGTCATTGTTTTGCGAGGAGGGGAGCCTGACGGCCCCTTGACGAAGCAGCGTTTGCCTGAGTTCTAAGAACATTGAACCTAGAATTCCACACACCGTGAAGCCAGCATCCAAGTGAAACCGCACAACGACGGTGTCTTCACGGCCTGTAAACGTCCAAGTACCACGCACGGTCTCTAAGAAATTACTGAAAGATACACCCTAGCGAAATGAACAGGGAATCCTAGGGTAAGACAGGATGCCAGCGAAGAAACCGCTTTGGACTGTTAAAAAGAAAATCAAATAACAACTTGAGAGCGAATTCCAGATGACTGAACACGGCACGTGGCAAGCAGAGGGAGGGGCGGGAAGTACAAGTTGACTAGAGCTCTTCTATTGCTAGAGGATTTTAGAATGGACAGAAAAAGGCTTAAAATGTTAAAATACCCAAGTTTCTCCTAAAAAATGGAAATAGGATTTACAATTCCATGACACATGGGTGAAAACTGAAAGGAAGAAAAATTGACCGTGCCAATACAAAGCAGAAAAAAAGGAAAAATGCGTGATAAATAAGGACCAGAACATGAGATGACAGGGATCCGTTCAAATGTTTGAGCTGAGAGACAGGATTGAATTAAAGTCGTGCTAAAAGACTGAGACTCTCAAATTGGAATATAAACGTCCTTAAATAGTGTTTACAAGAAATACTAAAATGTCAGAGATTGAAAATAAGAGTGAAAAGTATGTATCATATAATTTTTGCTCCTCGAAAGACCATGAAGAGAAGGAAGAACGAAAGGCTAAAAACGAGAGGGTATTTGCAACACGTGCACCTTGCAAATGATGGGTGCCCAGAATATACAGAGAGCCCTTTCAACAACACTGGAACACGACCAGCCAGTGAGACGGCGGGCAAAGCCCGTCAGCTAGCAGACGACAACACGGAAAGGGCCAATACCTTCACTAGGCATTTTGCAAATGCGAAGAGAAACGCACCAAGTGGTCACAGACGTTCAAGCCTGGCAATACCCGGTGACGCCTAGGAGGTGAGTCACTGAGACACACACATCCTGCTGGCCAGAACATCAGGTGGTGCAATCATCTGGGTAAATTATATGGCATTAGCCAACGAGGTTGGACGCGTGCATAGCAAACCACCCCAAAACTTCACAGTCAAAACAACAACCATGCCCTTGGCTCACGGGTCTGCCCTGCGGGCAGGAGTCCACAGTCACGGCTCGTCTACGCTGCGCCTCGCCAGCTGGGGCACCTCCCCAGGGGCTGGAGGGATCGCGTCCAAAATGGCATTCCCACGCAGGTGTTCAGCCAGCTCAGGCTGTGGGCTGAGGGCGTGGGGACTTCCTCATGGGACGGAGGCCAGGTTCCGAGAGCAAGGAGTCCCAAGAGAACCAGCTGGGACGTGTATTGCCTTTTATGTCATCTCCTCAGAAGCCACATGGCGTCACTTCCGCTCCAACCCATCCAGATGCAAGTCGTGAGGGGACACTGTCACCTGCTTCCTATAGAGAGAAGTGTCAGGGTCCCTCTTTAGCGAGAGCGCATGCTGTGGAAGAAGTTGCTGTGGCCACTTTGGGGTGATGCAAGCTGCCACGTGTGCGGGCTGCGCCCAGCCACGGGGTCCGGCCGCCGGGTCCACCCGGACTGCTCCGCACCAGCACGCACGCGGCCTGGAGACCCGAACGGGTTCTTTGGAGGACTCGTGGCAGTGTCCAGGAGCAAAGATGCTGGGGAGACCCTGAGAGTCCACGGACAGTGAAGGGGACGAGCAAGGGGCATCATAGAGTGGCGGAGCGACCGCAGCTGACAGGAGCGGACCACAGTACCACGAGCCACGTGTCGGGTCTCGGACAACAATGCCGAATGGGACCGGCTCACGGAAGGCTGTCACCTGCGGTTCCACGCACACTGGGCAGACGGAGCTGGGACAGGGGCGTGTGAGGACGACACACACCCCTCTGTCTCCCCTGACATCTATGAATGAACCTTGAGTTCGTGCTGGTGGTCACAGTTCCAACCCAGCAGAGGCCACCCGGCTCGTCCCCTCTCTGTGTGATGCTCTTTCAACAGGAAGAGCCCCCGCGTTCACCTAGTGGTCAGCCCGGAGCTTGGCCTCAGACACAACAGCTGCTGCCCCCTATGGGGTGCACCGGCCAAAAGCTGGGTTCTGGGGACATCAAGGATCTCCTGCCCCACCCCACACGTCCCACCGTTAGCTCTGCAGCTGAAGGCCCGGGCCCAGGAAAGGCAAGCGGAAGGTGCCAGCGTTGTTTCCAAGGCTCTGTTTTCTAGAGACTGGAGATAAAACTCTTCTTTTCTCCTGCTCTGTCTCTAAGCTCACGGAGTAGCCTGTGCCCTCAGATGCAAGTCGTGAGGGGACACTGTCACCTGCTTCCTATAGAGACAAGCGAAACATTCTTTAAGTGGTGATTTTCCCTCTTCGGCATTCAGGGGAAATTGTTGTTACTGACTCTTCACTTTTAATAGAAATCTGGTTATTTGCATAGTTTCAATAGAAATCAGTTCTCCTCTTTGCCAGGACACAACAGGACAAATCGATTGTGCAGCCAAGACCTGACGCTGGTGTCGTGTCTGAGAAAACATCCCCTGTGGTTCCGTGTGACCCACCGAGCTGAGGGTCAAGGGCCATAGGGCCTGTGTTGACCCAACACCCCCACAGGCCTCAGGCCCACGCCGTCCAGGCCCCTGTGCCGCAGTGCGAGCTGGGGCAGGCACCACGGTCCTGGGGAGGGTGGCAGGTTCTGCAGGCAAGGTTCAGTTGTGTAACCGAGAAAGAGAGGAGATTAGGAGAAATTAAACTCTCAGGTGTAGCAGAGGCCCAGTCCCACACCCGCGACCTCCCAGGCAGAAGCCGAGTTTCCGGCCTCGGCGGTGGGAAATGCCATGTGGCTCGGACGTGCTGGCCGAAGCTGTTCATTACCATCCCTGCGGCTCCTGTGCGGGTGCTTGCTGTGGTGCACAGTAACCTTTGGAGATTCTCGTGATGGAGGGAGGGGGTGGCGCTAATAAAAATTTTCCGAAAGGCAGGACGGTGGCGGGCCCTTTGGGTGGGAGGCTCAGTGTGGTCCCCAGACCTGACTCTCTGGGGTGCGCTGTTTAACTTGTTATTTACTATGGATTATGACTTTTTTACGACTCGTGGAGGACAGACTTGTAGAAAACGATGGCTATGTAAAATGATTCTTGTCTGACAGCAACGCAAATGAATTTTGCTCACTAGAAAGTGACAGAAATGACTTCTGTCTGGTAGGGAAGATTCCGGTTAGAACAGCTCGCGGTTTTACGGCCCCTGGAGAACGGTGGCCTGTTTTTTGATCTCAGTTAACACGCTTACCCCAGCGAGCTTTTTTCCAGCCCCTACAAATACTTCCCTCTCCCTGCAAGCTTTTGAACCAGCCTCACCATCGTGCTGGTTTCTGCATGAATGACTTAAATAAACCTTTGACACACCCTCACTTTAGAGCTGCAATGTCGCATTTTTAAGTTTTTTAAAATTTATGTTTTGACAGCTCCCACGTGTAGCCGCACCCTCAGCACCTCCCGTGGGGCGTCTAATACACATCTCAGACTTCACAGGCCTGAGATCGCGTGCCTGGCCCTCATCCCCAAACTTCTCTCATCTTTTTCATCTGCTACGGGTTGAACCGTGCCCCCCAAAAAGATAAGTGGATGTCCCAATCCCCAAACCTGTGGCTGTGACCTCGCTGGAAATGGGTCTTCACAGGCGATCACCTCGACAGGAGGTCACAGGGCCGGCCCGAACCCAGTGACTGCTGTGCTTGTAAGGACAGGGGGTTTGGACGCAGACACGCAGGGAGAGGGACATGCGACAACAGAGGCAGAGACTGGAAGGCCGAGCTCCCCGGCCACCAGGAGCTGGAGGCAGGAAGGGTTCGGGGTGGGGGAGCCCTGCGGACGCACGACCTCAGCCTTGCAGCCTCCAGGACGTGACACAGCGCGTTTTCCGTTGTCTGAACCACCCAGTTTGTGGTACGTTGTTACGGCAGCTTCACTATCTCAGTAGATGTTGACCCCATGCTTCCTGAGTGAGAGGCAGGGCCTTTCTGCCCACATCTGCTCCGTCAGCAAATACTGTTGGCTCCCCCTTCAAAATGTGTCCAGAACCAGCCCTGTGTCCCCACCTCCGGTCACCTCTGCAGAGCCAGGCAGTGTTCTCCCTCACCAGGCCATCCCGGAATCCCGACTACTCTCAACAGCCCAAGTGACACTGCTGTGCTCAGAACCTTCCAGTGGCTCCCCACCTCTCAGAATAAAAGCCAAAGTCCTCCACTCAACAACCAAAATAAACCAGATTAGAAAACGGGTAAAGAACTTGAAAGACATTTCTCCAAAGAAGATACACGAACGGCCAATAAGCACATGGAGAGGTCCTCAGCATCGGCAGCCATCGGGGGGACGCAGGTGAGAACCACAGACGCCACACCCAGGAGGACGGAGAGATCCGAAAAGCCTGACGACAGCAAGCGTCAGTGAAGATGCGGAGAAACTGGAACGCTCTTGCACTCCGGCGGGAACGCGAAATGGGCAGCTGAGCATTTCCCCAAATGCTTAAACACAGAGTCACCACGTGCCCCAGCCCCACTCCCGGCTGTACCGCCAAGAGAGTGAACGCACCTGTCCACACAGATGTGCACATGGAGACGCACAGCAGGATCGTCACCACGGCCAAGGAGTGAAAACGCACCAAATGGCCACCAGCTGACGACGGACAAGGGAAATGTGGCCTGTCCGTATGGAATATTCTCTGGCAATAAGGAGAAAGCGCTGAAATCCACTACAACACGGGAACGATGCTCGGAGGAGGAAGCCGAAGGCTCGCGCGATTTCATCGCTATGAAATGTCACAGAGACAGAAATCCGTGGAGACAGAAAGCTCGTTCGTGGTATGGGCTTTCTCTGGGGGTGGCGAAAACGTCCCAAAATTGGCTGGTAAGCGTGGCACAACCTCGTACCTATAATAAAAATCATTCGATTGTACAATTTTAAATGGGTGAATTGTATGGTTTGTGAGTTATATCTCAATAAAGCTGTTTTTAAAATACACTGAACAATTATACAAATAAAATTTTAAAATAACACCAGAGGCTTCTGTTTCAGGAATGGATGATGTGAACACATCTCACTCTCCTCTTCCAACTGAATGGAACTTTAAAAACTGGGAAATAATGGAGCAGACAATTACATGCCTCTGAAAGGTGGATGAAGGAGGGCGGGCTGGCCAGGGACTCAGGACTGAGGGCAAAGACAGCAGCCTGGAGTCTCCCGCCCCCACCCAGCAGGAGACAGCAGCCTGGGCCCCGCGTGTCCCCCCTTACACCAGCAGCTGCCGGGAGCCCACCTGTACCCCCCGCAGGGGAACTGGCAGAGCGGGAGGCCTGCTGGCCTGTCTCAGGAAGCACTCTCCATCCCACGGGTCCTCCCTTTCCCAGGGCCCGACTTCCAGCTCGGGGCAGCCTGGACCATCAGCTCTGTCCCTACAGGCAGCACCAGCAGAACAACGTGGAAGCTCCAGCAGCAGCAGATGAATGAATCGGACCAGACTGGAATGCCAAGCCCTGGAAACGATGCCGCCACTGGAGCCACAACCCGCAAACGTGGGCCGGGATGAGCTGCGCCCGAACGGGACACCTACCTGCAAAGCAGAAGGCTCACGTGGGATTCAGCTCTCCTGACGGAATACCCGAGCTGCAGAGACTACGATTTTAAACATTACTGTCATACCAAGACCCAGGAAATTTACAACTTGAATAAGAAAAAAACAGATACCAACCCAGAAGAATCAGATGTTGGAATTATCTGACAGAGATTGTAAACAGCCATCACAAATATGCTTCAACAAGAAATTTCGAATTATCTTGAAACAAATGAAAACATTAAATCTTAGCAAAGAGATAAATTATTGAAAAAAAGAAATCGAAATTACAGAACTAAAAAATACAGTACACCAAAATAAAAAATTCCCCAAACGGGCTTAATAGCACAATTACTATAACAGGAGAAAGACTCCATGAACTGGAGCACAGAACAACAGAAGTTACCCGGTCTGAAAAAGAGAGAGAAAATAGACTGAAAAAATAAATAACAACCCTTCAGGGACCTGTAGACCATAAAGAGAAATTAACATTTGTATCACTGGATCCCAGGAGAGGAGAAAAAGCGTGGGGCTGAACAAAATATTTGAAGAACTAACGGCAGAAATTTTCCAAATATAAACCTACACATTCAAGAAACTGAGCAAATCTCAAACGAGATAAACCCAAAGAAATCTATGCCACACACATGATAACCAAACTTCTGAAAACTCAGACCGACAAAGAAAAATGTCTTGAAAGCAGACAGAAGCAGCGCATGCCTATAAGGGAAGAATAATCAGAATAATTGGATTTTTCCACCTGGAACCGGGGAGGCCAGAGGAAGTGGCCCATTTTTCAAGCACTGAGAGGAAAGAACTGTCAACCATAAATTCTGTGTCTAGGGAAACTATACTTAAGGAATGAAGGGGAAATGAAAACATTCTCAGTCAAAACTAAAATAACTTGTCATTAGCAGAACCACCCTTACAGAATAGCTAAAGGAAGTCCTCCAAACAGAAAAGAAATTGTGTGAGACGGCTTAGAGCTTCAGAAAAGAAAGAAAAACACCGGATGGGTAAAATAGGGATAGATATAATAGATTATCTTTTTATCATGAGTTTCTTAAAAAAGTCATATTGGATGATTGAAACAAACCTTGTAACCATCCGATATGGCACTAAATGTACACGTAGAAAATACTTTAGAAATCACAGTTTTTAAAACGGGTTGGTAAAGGGAGCCACCTGGTAGTGAGGTTTCCACACTGCGCTCAAACTGTTAAAATGATATCGGTAGACAGGTAACAGGTGCCTCCTGCAACACCCAGAGAACCACTGGAAAACTATACAAATGTTATACTCGAAAGCAACATAAAAAAATCAAGATGGACTTCTAAAATGTGTTCAAGTATCCCACCGGAAGGCAAGAAAAGAGAGAAGAATGAAAAAGAGAGAATAAACAGAAAACTCTTATTGTATTTATCGGCTCAACGAACTTACTAATAAGAAAATGGCAGACTTAAGCCCAAATATATCACAAAGTTTAATGCAAATGGTCTAAATACACCGATTAAAACACAGATCGACGGAGTGGATTAAAAACAAACAAAAAAACAAGACCCAACTACATGCTGCCCTACAGGAAACTCACTTCAAACATAATGGCTAAAAGTCAAAGAGAAAAAAAGATATAATAAATGCAAATATTAGTTCAAAAGCGTAAGAGTGGCCGTGGTATATTATTAACTAGTACATACTATACAATACATATTTTGATGTTATTAACCGTATATTAAAGTTAGGTAAAGTAGACTTCAGAACGAAGATTAGTGGGAACAAAGAGGAACATTATGTAATGATAAAAGGATCAACTCACCTGGAAGACACCGTGATCCTAGATGTGTGTGCCATCGAGCAGCCCAGCTGAAAGATACAGAAAGCGAAAAATGAGGGCCAAAAGGAGAAACAGACAAATCTACAATTCTAGTTGGGGACTTCCACATCTCCCTTTCGCGACTGACAGAACCACTAGACAGGAAGGCGACAAAGATACACAAGAACTAACACCAGCACCATCCAACAAGATTTATAGGACATGCCACCCAGCCACAGCAGATCGCACAGTTCGTGGAACGTTGGTCAAGGCAGACCATGTCCTGGGCCACAAAAAACAAATCTCAAACAATTTAAAAGAGCTGAAATCATACAGAGTATGTTCTCCGACTGTAACGGATCAAACTGGACATCACTAGCAGAAAGACCTCCGGAAAATCTCCAAACGGTTGGATGCTAAACAACACACTTTAAGCAATTCATGCCTCAAAGAGGAAGAAGGCTCAAGGAGATTTTTTAAATATTGAACTGAATAAAATGAAAATACAATGCATCCAAATTTGTAGGACACAAGAAAGCAGTGCTGGGAGGGAAATCTGTGCAACTGGACACCCTTCCGAGGAAAAAGGAAAAGTCTCAAAAATCTAAGCTTCCACCTTAAGAACTTGGGGCGGGGGTGGCAAAATAAGCCCAAAGGAAGCAGAAGGAAATAATGGAAATAAGAGCAGAAATCGATGGAATTCGAAACAAAAATGAGAGAAAATCAGTGAAACAGCTGGTTCTTAGAAAAGATCAATAAAATCGACAAGCCTCAGGCAAGACTGACAAGAAAAAAGAGAAAATCCAAATGATCGATATATAAAGAATGCAAAGGAGCTATCACTCCAGACCCTACAGCTGTCGAAAGGGTCATGAAGGGATTGTGGTTAATTTTACATGTCAACTTGGCTGGGCCACGGGGCCCAGAGATTTAGTCCAGTGTTCTTCTGGATGTCTCTTGGATGTCTCTGTGAGGGTGTTTTTGGATACGATTTACAAGAAAATCGGTGGCCTCTGAGTAAAGCAAATCACCCCCCAGACCGGGTGGGCTTCGTCCAATCAGTTGGGTGCAAATGTGTTTGACACCATTTGCCACTACCGAACTGCGAACTAAAATCACAGCTGTTTCAATGACGAAAATAAAAAGTCGTGTGACCGTAACAAATGCCGGCAAAAATGTGGAGAAACTGGATCACTTAGACGCCGCCCGTGGGAACACGAAACGGCAGAATGGCTCCGGAAACCGGCTGGGCAGTTTCTCCAAAACCCGAACACGCAAGCGCGGTATGACGCAGTAGGGGCGCTGGGGGCACCTCTCCCTGAGAAACGAAGACGCGCTCACACCAGAGCCTGCACACATTCATAGCACCCCAGTCAGTAACGGGCCAACACTGGGATCAACCCCGATGTTTCCCAGCAGGCGAGGGGTTAATGAACAGGTCCACCCACGCACGGAACACCCCCGCCGTGGAAGGAACCAGCTGTTTGTACGGAGCAGCCACTCGGATGCGGATCCAGGGGGACACGCTGGGCGGAAACAGCCACTCCCAGAGGTTACTTACCCTGTGATCTCACATATGACAACATTTTACAAATGGCGGACAGATGAGGGCTTGCCATGGATTAGTGACCGGTGGGGGGGCAGTGGGGACGGAGGCGTATCCGTAAAGGGGCAACAGGGGCCACCCTCGCTGGGGGTCTTCGGTGTCTTGCCTGTCGCTGCAGGAACCGGCTTGGGAGATAAAATTGTATGGGATGCAATACAGATATGAGCACAAGTACAGCCGGGACGTTGGAACAAGACCAGTGGACGCACCCCCGATGCTGTCTGGGTCGTGACCTTCTGCTGTTTCCTAAAGTGTTAGTTACCTTCGGGGAAGCTCGCTAACACGAGGCCTCCTTCCCTGTCACTTCCTAGGATTGCATGTGACTCTAATTACCTCTAACATTTTTCTTTTTCATTTTTATTATGGTGACATTGGTTAACGAAATCCAGTAAGTTTCAGGTGTACGATTCAACAGTAAGGCAGATATATATTGCATTGTGTGTTCACTGTCCACAGTTAGATTTCTTTCGGTCATCACTAACATTTTCAATTAAAAAAAATTTCTTCTGCTAGGCATTTTTTTTCTGAGGAAATAACCAGAAGGGCCTGAAAAGGCATTGGAGCCGTCACGTTTCTCTGAGGATCGTCCATGATCGGGAGCGGGACACGGCACCCTTCCCCAGCTGTGTGCTCCCAGGTGCTGTGCAATGTCCAGTGGCCAGCGTAGTGGCGCCCGGACACCTAGGATCGGGGGTGTGGACACGTGGAAGTAGATATTTTGTTAGGTAGAAACAGCGGTTTAGAAAAGAGTAGATATAGTAAAATCTCTTCTTTTAATTTACAGGCTTGTACCTAAAATCTGGGTAAGATATACATCTAAGTGTTTTCAGTTATTCTCACTCAAGTGGCGAGCTTTCAGGAAGTGGTTAAGGGCAGGCACAGCCATTGTGTACCCCAAAGGAGGAGGGCCACTCCAGGCATCGACA